CGTACATATCAAACAGGACGGCGTATCTCTTTTTGCCAAAATCCAGATTTAAATCGTCGTACGGATAAAACGTTGAATTTAAATCAAGTTTCACGTTACTCAAATTACAATCGTCGAACACGCTACCATTTTGTGACATGACATTTTTTCGACCAGTCTGCAGAGCAAAGATAACGTATCGCGGTTTCTCAAGCTGAGTCGCCGTTTTGACGGCCCATGAATGCTTTGTCGTATTCTGTAGCAGAGGATACTCGTACAGATCCCACGAGCGAAAACTCATGCTCAGATAATGACCGCTTTCCAATGTTCGCAGCATTGATAATTTATTGATCTCGTTTAACGCAACGTGAGGCATCCGCCACTGTACTTTAAATAATTCAATTTCAGACTCCGTCACAGGATTTCCCACCAAGCAATTGTTGTCGTTGCGCGCTCGTATCAAAATCAATTCGTGGCGAGCGTTGATGATCAGGCGTTTGTAATCTTCGCAAAAGCCCAACAGCATGCTGAGCGGTACGCAAAAATTAAAGTGTCCTTCCTCCGTGTCGGATCTAGTGTTCCATCCAGCGTTGAGCGCAATCAAAGCTTTATCGTACGTCAGCGACACGTAATTCTTGAGCGTGCTAGTTATGCCTGCGTTTCTGCTGCGGTCAATCTCCACGCCGTTGAGTTCATATCGAATTTCATCAAACATAAACGCCACGCAATTATTTACAAGCGTCGTTGGCGTCTGATCGTTTTTCTTTTTCACCGTCAATCTTCCTTCGACGTAAAGAAAACTTTCACACGGCAACGTGTACAAATCCTGTTGCTGTATTGGTATTCTTATTTCATCGCTGTATCCAAAAGTTGCATTGGCGAACGGGTTGTACGTGTGAGTCTCGATCTTGACGATGCGATCGTCAAAGATCGGCTCACCGGTAATATTCAAGATATCAATCATTTCAAAAGTTGCGCACCGCGAATCCCAAAGATTGTAAAAATTTAACGTTCGACGCGCTAAGCTTCTTCTTGCTGATGCAA